GAGCTAAATAAACCTTTCCTTCCTTCATTTTGAGTGTCGGGTATTTGTACCAGCAATGAGAGAAGAGTAACTAAGACAGTTGGGCTCCATCGTAAGTTCAAGGGGAGCCGAGACGATATAGTAAGACCCTATCTCAAAAAACAGAAAACAAAAAGAAAGTGGCAAACATGGAGTAATAGGTGTGTTCATAACAAGGGTATTTTGAAGGGTATTAATGGCAATGAGATTTACTATAATAATTTTTTTTTTTAATTTAAACTTTCACCATAATTTTACTCACAGCTCATACAAATATGAACAGTTTTATGTTTTCTTTCCCAATGTCTTGCTGGACTTGTTTCAGACCTACAATATGTTGGACAGTAGTAAGAATGCATACTTGCCTTAATCTTGATCACAGAGCAAAAGCAAGTGCTAACCATTCACCTGAAAATTGATGTTACTGTATACTTTTTATAGTTGCTGTTCAACTAAAGCATGACTTTATTCCTTTTTTTTTTTTTTTTTTTTGGTAAGAGTCTACAGGGTATTCAGGGTCTCACTACTAGATGGACTCTTAGTGATCCGCCTGTTTACAGCCTCTCAAGAACTGGGATTACAGGCATGTGCCACCACACCCAGTCTCAATTGCTGTCTCAGCGTGCCCTGGTGGCAGGCCCAGTGCAGAAGGCATGGGAATCAAATCCCCAGCCCTTGTGCCTGCTTGCAGGCACTTTAACTGCTGAGCTGTTTGGCTGGCCAGCATGACTTTATTCTTAATTTGATGAAAATTTTTCTCATGAATGATTGTTGAGATTTACCAAGTGCCTTTTCTGTATCTCTTTAGTGTTTTTTTCTTAAGAAACTAATAAGGTAGATTGTGTTGACTGATATTAATGCATTAAAAGAGTCTCTCATTCTTAGCATAAACACTTGGCAATGATGTTTTGTCCATTTTATATACTGGTGTGTTTAATGTGCTAGCATTTTGTTAAGAATGTTTACATTTTGATTCATGGGAGACAGTCTGTATGTAACCATTTGTTTTGTAATCACCTACTAGCACATTAAAATTAATTCAGTTGGCTTTTGATATCTGGGTAATCTATTTGGTTCTTCGTTAAATGTGTTTAGACTTGCTTTTCAGTTTTCATAGTCTGTCTGTGTTTTTTGCTAAGCATGTGTTCTGCCGTGGAGCTATACCCCACTCTTATATCCCATATAGATTTTTAGTATTTTCTTCTCCAGGCATAGAAAGCAAAGTTATTTTAAAGCCTATGCCCAGTAATTGTGGTATTTAAAGTTCCTTACGGATTGATTTCTGCGAGTCTTGGCCAGTAGTAGTTTTATATTTTGTGAGTGTGTCTCCTTTGACTTTTAATACTAAGTTGATCCTTATTCCTCAGGTATTATTTTTAAGAATTCTTTGTTGCCAGGAATAAAGCCATATATTTTTCCAGAGAAAGTTTGCATGGCTTCTGATAGTTTCCAAGAAATGCTGAGGGTCTGGGCTGACTTGCACTTTAGAGTTCAGGGCCCCTGGCTTTGGGGACTGCTCTAATGATGTAGATTGGGCTGCCAGTTGAAGGATTTAAGTTAATTTAACTTAACTTGCTGAAGTTAAGTAATAGAAGTTAAAGAACTTGCTGCTGGATTAGATGTTAAAGGAAGTAAGAAATACAGGACTACTCTGGATTTATAGCTTAATCAGCTAGAGCAACAAGGGTGCTGTTAGCTGAGAAGTAGAGGGTGGAGGGGAATGGGTCTTGGGATCCATTTTGGATGTATTATGTTTGACATTCCCATATTACACCCAAGCGGTAATTGGGAGTTTGCTTGTGAAGTGAATCATGAACACACAGAAGATATTTAGAACTCAGTCTGAAGTCACTTCCACAGTAGAAAATGAAAATAGTAGAAGGAAAGAAGTCTCCAGGACCAAGCTCTGAAACCAATCACAAATTTGGGGATTTAGAGGAGATGGAAAGATCAGTCTAAGATACGAAAAGGGCAAATAACAGTCTCCTTTGGGCATAAAGAATCACAGTGAGCTTACTTCATGTTTTCTGGTTCTATGGAGAATTTTCAGTGCTTTTCTAGTCTCTGCTAATACGTTCTCCTTTGATTTACTTAGTATGAAGTACTTACTGTCAGCAGTTTTAGGAATTTATGTCACATAGGAGATGTTTAAGATGAGTAGAGTGATTAAGTCACAGGGAACGGCCATGAGTCACATGATCTCAGCTGTTCTTTTAGTTGAGACCAGTATTTCTGGCTTTTCCAAGATTGGAAAAATATCTTTAGGGGACGAGAGGTGGATGTCAGGGTGGGACTGGGTACTAGGACAATTTTACTGCTTCTGGGGTGAAGAAACTCCTCTGCCTGGAACCTCAGAGATTCCCTTTATCTGCCTGAGACCTGTTACTTGGGAAGCATTTGCATATAAAAAGTTCATCTCTTTAGTAGTGGCTTTGATGGATGCCTATGTGATGTAAATTTCTCTCCATCTGCAGGACATATAACTTTGGATCCTGAAATGGCTCATCCTTGCCTGGCCTTTTCTGAAGACTTGAGAACTGTGAGATTTAGAAATATCCAGAACAATGTGCCTGGAAACCCAGGGAGTTTCGACTTCAGTGCTTCTGTGTTGGGTGCAGAAAGCTTCTGCTCAGGAAAGCACTACTGGGAGGTAGCTGTGGACAAGGCAGCACAGTGGCAGCTGGGCGTGTGCAGAGACCCCACAGACAAGCAGGACAGTGTGCTTCAAGCATCTCCAGATAAATTCTTACTCGTGGGATCTGTGATGGGGACTGATTACACCTTCTGGGTCTTTCCTCCTTTAAAAAAGGTCTGCTTGCAAAAGGAAATGCAAAAAGTTGGAGTTTTCTTGGACTATGAGTTTGGTCACATATCATTCTACAATGTCACAGAGAGATCCCTCATTTATAATTTCTCTCATCTCAGCTTCCAAGGAGCTCTTAGACCTCTATTTTCTCTTGGTATTCCAAGTGGAGACATGAATTCAGACTCTCTGACTATCTGTGCCCCTTGTGTTCCTTCCTAAAATGTCAGTTTTGCAAGGGCAAAATCATAGAATAGCAAATTTACAGACATTTTATAGTAACAGTTAAAAATCAGTCCATAGCCGGTGACATCCCACGCTGCCCATCACACAGTGCAACTGCTGGGCTCTGTTGGCCATGACTGTGTCCAGCTGCTGCTTCTACCTCACCAGCCTTTCAGCTTGACCACATCCAGGTGCAGTGTCTGTGTTTCTCAACTTAAAATATATACGTTTGTAGCTTTGATTCGGCTTGCTTCAACTGGCCCAATGAAGGACACTTGCAACTCTTCCCACTGTTCTCATATCCCCTCTCTTCTACAATGTTCCTGTGTAATGATAAATAACTCCTGTTAAGTAAACCTGTTTAAAACAACTCTGCCTAACAATATGTGACACAATTCCTATATTCACTGTAACCAATCATGTAATAACCTGCAATTACTTTCCACTTTAAGCTTTGTACTTTCCAGTTGCAAACTGTATTTAAACTCAACCCTGACTCTGGGCTGATGATTTAGAACTGGTTCCTAACAGCCAACTAGCATAATAAAAGTTGCCTTCTAATTCCTCCTCAGTGTAAAGAGTCTTCCATTTGGTTTGATACTGCTCTTTCTACAACAGTGTTAGCTCTTATTCTTCTCCCATGATCACAAGAGACCAGAAAGTTAAATGCAAGATGTGATAAAAGACTCTTTAAAAAATAAAAATAAAAAACAATATAGTAAAAGACTTTATAGAAGTCATCCCATAAAAGAAAGACTTCCATGAGTTACATGCCAGTATAATCACCAGAGTCTTTGCATTGATGGGACTTTCAACACCTGCTTAGTGGATGAGGTTGCATTTAAGCTGAATTGTGAATGATTATAACCAAAAGACCTATGACAAGTTAGAATAACAAATTCATATGCATCATAGGATTAGTGTAAGCATGTTTATAGCAGCACAATTTGTCATAGCTAATAAGCATGTTTATAGCAGCGCAACTTACCATAGCTAAATCTTGGAAACAACCTAAATGCCCATCAAGTGAGAAATGGATAAAAAAAGATGTGGTGTTTTTATACCATGGAGTAAGCTATAAAGAAAGATAAGCTGGAGACTCATAAATGAAACACATCAGACTCACACTTATAAACATATTGTCTCCCTAGTGTAAGAACCTGAAAGAATAAGTAAAATCTAAAAGGTACAACAGATACTATAAAAGGGAAAAAAATCTTCAAAGGGAAGGAACAACTTGGATGAGGAAAGAGAAAAAAAAAAAAAAAAGGAAAACAATGTATACATAAGGTAGCTAAGATAATTATATTACTGATTTCTGTTGTTTTATTGAAAGGAATCCTTAATTTTTTTGACCAATTTTACATGCTTATATCTGGTAATCTGAACAACTGTTTTGAAGACAACAGTATGCAATGTAACAACCATTGTTGAATTCCTATCATCTTGTTTTTGAAATTCTTTAAAATAAAAGAATTTAAGGGCTCAGTGGCATAAGTGCCTGCCTGGTAAGCTCAAGGTCCTGAGTTTGATCTCTGGCACTGTTAAAAAAAAAAGGTAAAAGAATTGGAAAATTTTTAAAATAATAAAAAGAATACAAATGCAGTCTGGGGTCCTCAGAACTTGGATTAGGCATTAGAACTACTCCTGAAAGTATCTACAGAATGAAGTGTAATGAGGAGTAAGAGAAAGCTCCTGGTGCCCTTGCACAGTGGAGACACCCTATTACTAATTCAACCTATCATTTAACTTGAAAGAAATAACTTAATTGTCTTACATTATTTATATATTTGCTTAGAAGTATGTAGTGCTGAGAACCAAAGATTTAAGGAGGGATTTTTTTGGTATCAGAACTCAAACTCAAGACTTCGTACTTGCCACGAAGAGCTCATGTCACTGAACTATATCCTCCATCCTGGAGGGACTGTTAGGTAAAATGTTTGTGGTATTTATTATTTTTTTCTCTCATTTATTTATTTATTTACTTATCTATTTTGCAGTACCAGGGATCAAACTCAGGACCTTGCACTTACCAGGCAGAACTTACACCACTGAGGTATATCCCCAGCCCTTACTTTTCCTTATTATTTTTAACAAAAGATATTGGTTAATCTTATTACTCAGGTATAGAAATTATCGGAGACTATTTTAATTTTTTTGAAGTCACATGGTTAAGAATCTGAAGAAATTAAAATAAGGAACTAAATCTAGTTATATGAAAAAAAACAAGATCCCAGCACCTAGTTGGGGAGGGGATAGGACGGGCACAATAAAGTGACACACTGCATTCCTAGCACACGCACATGAAAGCATTGGTCCTGATCCTATTGCATACAATTGGGTAGGCTTCCTGATTGTGTTGAGCACACCTAGGAGAGCAGTGGTCCAATTTTATTTACATTCACAAAAATATAAGCCATTTTCTGTGCCGCAGGAAGGGTGATACTTAACTTTTCCCTCTACAACCTTTATTGGCACACTGACAGCTAAGTAGGGTTCTGTGTTGTTTTGTTTTGTGGTGTGGATTGAATCCAGGGTTACACCTCCAGTTCTTTTTTTCATTTTGAGACAGGGTCTCTCCAAGTCATGTTCCTCACATCGGCCTTGCATCTGTGATCCCTCAGCCTCCAAAGAGCTGGGGCTGTAGGCTCTCACTGCCACGCCTGAAGGCTAATTTCTTAAGGTTGGGTGGACCAAAGAGGAGTGAAGGACAAATAGAGGAAAATTGCTTGTTAAGTCGTGGAGGTCTTGAGAAGTTGTACGATTTTCTTTGTTTTGTTTTGTTTTTCTTACCTGTCTTTTGGAGACAGATTTTCAACTGACTTCTTAGAATTTTTAAACTTCGCTACAAAAACATTGTATAGTTTTTTTGTTTGTTTTTTTCTGTTTGTAAGCTTGCAAAAGTCAGTGTATCTTCACACTAGATGACAAGAAGACTTCAGGGAGTCTCTGCTCTGAAAAAGGGAGGCTACGTGAGGTGACAGAGGTGAAGTATTAAACTAAGAAATTGGCTCTGCAAGTCATGAGAAGTGCTTTCTCAATTTCCTGAGGAAAAGATGATATTTCAGTACACAGGAAAATGTGGGAGGATTTAGAAGCAAGTATCTATGATTTTTTTTTTTTTTTAAATCCCATGTGTGACTGAGCATCGTGGTGCATACCTACACTTAGCACTTGGGATGCTGAGTAAGGAGTGAGTTCAAGGTTCAAGGCCAGCCTAAGCTACATAGCAAAATTTTTTCTCAAAACAAAAATTTTAAAATAAAATCTCATGTATATTTACATGTCTAGCTACTCAAAATTATCAGCTAAAAGTACTCAAAACCAAGCATTTATGTTGCCACAAAACCCACAGTAATAAAACTAGTTTAGAATGAGGGATATTTCTCACCAGGGGTGGTTTTGTAGGAGCATTAGGCTATGTGGAGGGAGTGCTTGGGTGTTACAGTTTTGAGAGAATTTGGGGTGCTGCTGGGATCAGTCAGTGGAGCCCAGTGATGTTGCTGAATGTCCTACATGTGCAGCACAGCCCCCCAGACAAAGAATGGCCTGGCTCAAAATCTAAGTTGTTTTGAAGCTAAGCAGTCCAGAGTTAAACTAACAAGTATCATAAAAGTGTGGATGGAGAACTTTTAAAACTCAAGTAATCATAGAGAACATTGTCATAATTGCCTACATCTCTTCTCCACACTGGAAATTTTCAATATACCCATCTACCAAAAGCTGAAGTGAAAATTAATGTTCCACTGACCTTAATTTGTAAATATCATAGTTAGTCATTATTTGCACATTAACAGTCAAAGATGTAGGTAATGATAGTAGACTATATATACTTTCTTTTTTGATTCATTGATTAATATCCCAGCAGACTATAAAATTACAGCTAATTCCACACCTTGCAGGATTCACCTTAAAGCCTCCCAGCCTAGGCTCTAAGCACTATGAATATCTTTCCCAGGGGATTTCTTCATTTCGAAACACAATAAAACTCAGGTCTGTATTTCCGCCTTACTCCAAAAAGCCTAATTTATAAGTTTTGTTTGATCAGCAGAGATTTGGGAGGGTATTTTGAAAGAGTTCAGTAGTGAGCATTTTTCACCTTTTGAACAACAAACTACCACAAATTCACCTTTAGCTATACAGAGTGTTTTTCTATTACAGTAAGCTTTTTTCTAATTATGTTCAAATTACTGTAAGATTTTGTGAAATCCTAGGCTAAAATCAGGATTTGGAATATTTTTTTCTTTAAAAAAGCAGAGAATAATCAGGTTTTACTAGCTATATTGTCCCTGTTGACACTAAAGGTACTGCTATATTACAAAGGCAACTCTGCTTGTATTTAAATGGATGTATGTAGATGTATTCCAATAAAACTTTATTTCAATAAATTTTTTTTTAAAGTGTCTTGGGCTTTGTCAGCTTCTGCTATAATTATTTCCTCTATTCAGTATTTAAACCATCCTTGGGTCAAGGCCTTCCAAAATTGACTTTCAAATTGAGAATGTATTCCCATTTTATCAACCCACTTTTACCCCTGCATCTCCTTCTAGCCATTGCCCAACCTTTGGACTTTATGTTCACTAACACAAGAGCTCAAAAGTTGCTATCATAGCCATGCTGGAGGCTGGAATAGGAAGAACTGAGAAACTTAGCAAAACCTTGTTACAGATATTTTTAATTATGAGGACTAAAATCTACAGTGGTATACCCTTTCCACTCCTGAATTCAGTCCAGTATGCTTTCTGTCTCTTGTTTTTCTGCCTACAGCTCTTATAGCTTTTTTTTTTCCCACCAGACTGAAGATTGAACTCCAGACATTGTACTTGCCAGGCGGACACTTATGCCATTGAGCCATATCCCCAGCTCTCTGCCTGTAGTTCTCAATACTGGCTTTCATATTGCTAAATCTGATGGGCTGTATTCCATTTTCACCTTATTTGAACTCTCAGCGGGAGTCACTGCTATTAATCTCTCACTCTTCGGGAAAGGCTCTCTTG